TCTGTCAAAATCAAACTGTCTTCTGGGAAAGGATGATTTGGACTAAATTTTCAGCTCAGCATTTTGGGGGAAATAATTTGGAAATTGTTGTAGTGAAATGTTTCAATATTTTTTAAATAAAAATTCAATTTTCCAATTCAACACAATTTTTTATAAATGTATGCTAATTAGAGTAAAAGAATAATAAACAAAACAAAAAAGAGAGATAAAATGAAACAAAATCTTTGAGATTGACTAAAAAAAACCTTAATTGAACCAAGCTGATTTCCTCCCTCCCTCCCCACACATTTTCTGTTTGCAAACATTGTGGCTTTTCCTCAGAATAGGAAGACATTTTTTAATCTCAAAAATTTTAATGTAATGGGGAGAACAGTTCCAGCCAGCTCTGTTAGTAATAATTAGTTGCAAGTATTTTAAAATATTTAAGAAAAGTAGGGTCTATTCATCAGAGTCAAGGACAATTGTTGGTTGTGGACACATAAATGGTATCTTTATCAGGGGCAGATGACCATTTCACGGGACCCAGGGCAGCACAATTTCACGGGGCCCCCCTTTGCCACGGCGCATGTGTGGGGCTTATTGAAGCGCGGGGCCCATGGCAGCTGCCCCGCTCGCCCTGCCCTATATCCGCCGCTGCGTATGTTTGTTCTCCATTGAAAATGCAAAAGGCTCTCCAATGATGTTTTTGCTGCTTACTGATTAGGAAACAATCGAAAAGTTCAGTGGGTCTAACAGCCTCGCCAGGTCCCTGGATAAGGCAGGGGAGGTTCTACTCTGCATCCCCAGAAGGTGAAGGGCCTCCGGTAGAAGAATAATGTTTGGGGCTAGGCAGCTCTCAGCACTGTGCGGGGCTCCAGCAGCGATTTAAAGGACTTAGGGGCGGTGGTTCCCAACCTGTGCTCTGTGGACCTCTGGTGGTCTGTGGTGGTACTGGAGGGAGTCTGGAAAGTTTAAAAAGGATTGGGCCCACTGTGGTGGGACTGATCCTTACTTTTCTTTTTCTTTTTTTTTTTGTATTTCTTTCCTTACTTTTCTTTTTTTTTCATCCCCCAGAGAGAGGGGTCTGTGAAATTTTAATAGATTGAAAAGCCTGGATATTAGGAAAAACTATTTCATTAGGAGGGTGGTGAAGCACTGGAATGGGTTACCCAGGGAGGTGGTGGAATCTCCATTCCTAGAGGTTTTTATGTCCTGGCTTGACAAAGTCCTGGCTGGGATGATTTCGTTGGGGTTGGTCCTGCTTTGGGCAGAGGGCTGTACTCAAAGACCTCCTGAGGTCTCTTCCAGCCCTAGGACTCTATTCCATGATTCTAAAAGGGGTCTGTATGCTCAAAAAGGGTGGAAACCACTTGCTTAGGGCTCTGGCTGCTACCTCAACTCTGGGCCCTTTTGTATCACCAGGCCCTATGGCAGTTGCCCCCTTTACATCTCCTGTCAGTGGGTCTGGAAGGGTTAATGGCTACTTACTGTGTTACTGCTGCATGACAATGGGATGTGGCTTCCATTTTTAACTGATTGAATTTGAGATTTTTGGAATAGAGAAGACTAAAGAAATAGGCCCATAGGCCTGTGGGATGCTTTCTGGCACACTCCTAGGATGCAAGTCAGGAGGGGCTGCATCTGCAAAGCAACTGACAGCTCTCACACTCACTCTTGTGTCCAATCAGCATGTACCTCACTTCATGTGCATGTTACGTTAGTAATATTGCTAGGAAAAAAACGTTGCAGATGGAAATCACTGGTATCTGGCAAGCACCCTGCTCATAAGCAACATTAACAAATGTCACACAGTAGCCCAATGGGGGCCTCAGGTTGCTCACCACGGCTGTGAGAAAAGACCACAGGTCTCCTAACCTTTCTTTTTATTATTGTGGGTACTTGTTAAGCAGCTAAGCCCATTTTCACTTTCTCCCAAAAGGAGAGAATTTTTCTCACCGCCCTCCCCCTCCTCGCCTTTCCTTGCTTCCCCCTTTCTTGTTTGGTTTCAACTCTTGAACACATACAGTTAAAATCTTTATCATACCTCTTATGCATGCAAGTGTCTCACTATCGCACTGACACCTGGTGGGCTCTCCGCCCATCTTCCCTAGGGATCCCCACTTGCTAAGGTGTGGATGCCCTGTGCATCACACCAACAGCCCCCTCCCTCCATGTGAGCTGCGACATCCACCGGCAAGCAGCCACCCGCCGCCCCAGCTCTGCCGCTCCCCCTTTGCCCTGTGAGGCAGGTGCGCTCCTCCGCCCCCACCCGCTGCACCTGTTTTGGGACGAGTGAAGGGCAGAGCTGCTGGCTGACAGGACCCAGCCTGTCCTGGCAGCGCAGCACCACCAGGGGGCGCGCGGCAGCGGCGTCCGCGAGGCGCAGGGAGCTCGCGGGCACCCGGGGCGACAATCGTTACCTGGCAACGGAGAGCGGGCGGAGTCAGGGCGAGGCGCGAGGGTGGTGGGCGGCCGGATGGGTCCCCGCGGCGGACACAGGGAGTCGCGCGCGACATCCCGCGGGCTTCGAGGGGTCCTAGCGCGCAGCGCCGTGCTCGGCCGCGGGGGGACAGCCC